TAAGACGGCCCTGGAGCACCCCAAGAGGGCCCCAAGTCGGCCCAGAAAGGCCCCCCAAACGGCTTCCGACGGCGTCAGACGGGCCAGGAGCCCACCAAGATGGCCGAAGTTGGCTCGAAGCTGGCCCAAGGCGGCCCAAGAGGCCTCCAAGAGGGCCTCCAGGAAGGCCAGAAAGGCCCACAACACGGATGTGACTTAGGTATTCGAAGAATTCTGACATTTGCATATATTCGGCCTTCCGACGGCCCGAGACGGCCCAAGAGCCCCCAAAGATCGCCCAAGGATCGCCCAAGAGGCCTCCAAGATGGCCCCAGAACGGCCCAAGAGGCCCCCAAGACGGCCCGAAGAGGCCCCCAAGACGGTCCAGGAGGCTCTTAAGACGCCCAAGATGGCCTCCAAGACGGCCCTGGAGCATTCCAAGAGGGCCCCAAGTCGGCCCAGAAAAGCCCCAAAAACGGTTCCCGACGGTGTCGTACGGGCCAGGGGCCCACCAAGACGGCCGAAGATGGCAGTAAGATTGCGCTAGACGCCTCCAAGAGGGCCTCCAGGAAGGCCCGAAAAGGTCAAAATCATTAATTTCCCATGAGTGTTTGAAGGATCGTGGCATCTGCTTTCTGTCGGCCTTCCAACGGCCCGAGACGGCCCAAGTGCCTCCAAAGATCGCCCAACAGGCCCAAGACGGCCCCAAGAGGCCCCCAAGACGACCGAAGAGGCCTCCAAGACGCTCAAGATGGCCTCCAAGACGGCCCAAGAGTCCTCCAAGACGTCCGCCAACAAGGCCCGAAAGCGTCAAAATGGCATCCAGGCGGCCCGGATGACCTTCAAGATGCCCACATGTTCCCCGAAGGCTTTCCAAACCGATTCGGGGAACACTGGTCCGATTGCTTGGCAGGTCTCGCCTCAACGTTCGGCCACATAGGCGCTTCCACAAAGGCAGGGGGCGGCGGTGATTCGCCGTAGGCGTCTTCGATCCGCCGCCCCCCATCGATTCATCGCAGGGGTGCCTGGCGTGCTAGAATATGTAGGTTTGGGTTTTGGTTCTTTGTCCAAAAGGGCTTCGGCCCGTCCCGCCGGCCACCCGAAAAGAAGCACAATTCCCGATGTTTCGCTCAAGATGGCCCAAGATGGCCTCCAAGATGGCCACGTTGGCCCAAGATGGCCTCCAAGATGGTCCAAGATGGCCTCCAAGTCCGCCCAAGATGGTCGAAGATGGCCGCCCATACGGCCCAAGAGAGTCCTAGACTGCCGAAGACGGCCCAAGAGGCCCCCCAGAAGCCTCCAAGACGGCCCAAGAGGTCTCCAAGAGGTCCTCCAGGAGGGCCCGAAGAGGCACAAATAATTGATTTTCGCAAAGTCATTGGTTTTCGGACGACCCAAAACGGCCCAAGAGGCGCCACCAAGAGCGCCCCCACAGCGCCCAAGAGGCCTCCAAGATGGCCTCAGGACTGCCAAAGAGGCCCCCAAGACGGCCCCAAGAGGGCACAAAGACGACACAAGAGGCCTCCCAGGTCTCGCCTCAACGTTTGGCCACATAGGCGCTTCCACGAAGGCAAGGGGCGGCGGAGATTCGCCGTAAGCGTCTTCGATCCGCCGCCCCCTGTTGATTCATCACAGGAATGCCAGGCGTGCTAGAATATGTCGGTTGTGGTGTTGTTTCTTTTTCCAAAAGAACTCGCCCTGGGGCGTCGGCCCGTCCCGCCGGCCACCCGGAAAGATCTTCCGGCTTGTCTGGAGCCGGTTGCCCAAGGTTGTTCCTGCTCCAGACGGCTCCAAGACGGCCCAAGATGGCCTGCAAGACGGCCAACATGGCCTCCAAGACGGCTCAGATGGCCTCCAAGATGCATCCAAGATGCCTCCAAGATGGCCCAATATACCTCCAAGACGGCCTAAGACAGCCTCAATATTGTTCAAGACGGCCCCAGAAGCCTCCAAGAGCCCCCCAAGACGCCTCCAAGAGGTCCTCAAGGAGGGCACGAAGAGGCCAAAATAATTTGTCTTCCTTAGGTGTTTGAAGGATTTTGGCAGTTGCTTCTTTTCGGCCTTCCGAAGACTTCAAGACGGCCCACGAGGCCCCCAAGATCGCCCCACAATCGCTCACGAGGCCTCCAAGATGGCCCCATGACGGCCCAAGAAGCCCCCAAGATGGCCCCAAGAGGGCCCAAGACGGTCCACGAGGCATCTAAGACGCCCAAGATGGCCTCCAAGACGGACCCGAAGCGCCCCAAGAGGGCCCCAAGTCGGTTCAGAGAGGCCCCCAAGACGGCTCCCGACGGCGTCAGGCGGGCCAGGAACGCCATCAGACGGCCAAAGAATTCCCCGAGAAGCCCCAGAAGGGCCCCAAGAGGCCCTCAGCAGGCCCCAAGAGAGCCTAAGATAGCCCCAACATGGCCTCCAAGATGGTCCCAAGATGGTCCAATCGAGCCCTAGAGTGCCTCAAGAGGCTTCGAAGAGGCATCCTCCCCCTTCTCTTTTTTCCTCCTTCTCCTCCTCCTCCCCTTCCTCCCCCCCGCGTTCCCCGAAACCTTTCCAAACCGACTCGGGGAACAAATGGTCCGATAGCTTGGCCAAGCTCTAGCCCAGCTGTCGGACACATAGGCGCTTACACAAGGGCAGGGGGGGCGGTGATTCGCCGTAGGCGTCTTCGATAACGCCAACGTCTCAATATGCGCTGATGCTTCCTATCCGCCCCCGCATGTTCCCAGATGCGCCAAGGCAGCGCCGAGACGCACCGACGCGACTCTGACATGTCCCATTATGATAGAGAGGGGGCTGGCAGGGGGCTGGCAGGGGGGCCAAGCCCTTACGGATCCACGTTTAGACAACAAGCCCACGGTGCTGGTGTACACTGGTGGGCCCCACAATCCCGGAGCAGGGCGCTTCGTTTGCCCTGTGGCGGAGCTGTAGCAGAGTCGGGTTCCAAGGAGGGGGGCGTCCAGGAGGAGAGGGTCGCACATCATGGCCCGAGGCACGAGCGCGGACGGGGGGGAACCAGGAGGCAGATTGGAAAAAGAACAGGGGACCATGATATCTGTGGAGATGTCATGGTCCACCTCCCGGCAGGTGTGGA